CCTCCGCCCTAGCTGACCTCCGTGCGGCCGTGCCTGGGTCCGCCACTGAGTGTTGGACATCTGTATAATTAATTAAAGCGATTTCTTGCAAAATCAAAACTCTCGAAAAGAAAACAAAAAGTAAAAATTCAAAGAGCTAAGAAATTAATGAAAGTAACATAGCATGATACTTAAATCAACTTTTTTACGAGTTGAGACTTTAAAAATTGTAATAATATCAACAAATAATGATATGTAGAAGGTGATTGCTCGTTCCTATTTAACAGTCAAGTCTTGAATGTCTGCATACATTTTTTTTTTAAAACAGGATTTGACATAAAAGAACTAAAAAATGGACAAAACAACTAAGAATCGAAGTATTGAAGATAACAATTCAAATAACTCTTTCTAAAACATTAAAAATATAAGGCTTTATTGAATTAATATGGAAATAAAATCAGAAATACTATTTGCATAGCCCGAGCTTCACAACTTGGGTCACAGCCCTCACAAAAAGGTGGGACCTGCCACTGAATGTGATTATTTAAATCGCAGGCCCGCCCCCTGAACATGAGAGGGCTGTGACCCGAGCTGTATTTGTAGCATTTGTCAAATAAAATTGTAATACATTATTGTGAGTCTCCTAGAGTACAGACACAACAAAATTTGATTTTTGGATTTTGTGGGGCCTACATAATTTTGGTGTTGACAAAGTTAGTTGCATCATGTGCCTAGTTGTTGAATTCATTAATTATGGGGGAATTTGTGTTTTAAAGTTATATTATTTGCTAAAGAAATAACATACTAGAATTTTTAATATTTTATCTTTCAAAATTCAACATTGAGATACTTTATTATTAAATTAAGGAATTTTTTTACTTAAAAGTGATAAAAAAAAATTAATTATTCAAGCGGGTATACAAAAAATTACTTCAAGTAAACATTAATTGACTTTTAAGGTTAGCCGAACATTTTTGAGACGTGTAAAATTCATATTGGTATTTAAAATTACTATTTTCTTAGATGAATAGAATAATAAATAACATGTTTGGTTTATGGTTTAATAGCAGAAAACCTCATACCTATTAGATTTTGTACAGAAAACCTCCTTGTATATTGAAAATAGCAGAAAATCTCTCCGTGTAAAACTTTTTGTGCAGAAAACCCTCATATCGTCATGTTCCGTCAGTTTTACTGTTAAATTTTAATAAATAGGAGAAAAATGGGGGAAAAAAAAGAAAGATAGGGAACCCCCCTTCCCAAACCTATTAAACATGATGGTAGAGGAGTTTTTTCGCATAGAATATTTCAAAGAAGCGAGGGGGAGGAGGGGGAGGTTTCAACTATTTGCAGTAAGTAGAGGGTTTTTCGCACGGATTAATCTACTTGTACATTACCGTGTATATAAGGGTGTACATAATGTGAGTGTGGTGGAGCCTACAACATTGTAGCGTAGGCCCCACCTCCACTCACATTCTGAACACCCTTATGTACTTGCTAATATACAAGTAGCATTTCTCAAAAAANCTCACATTATGTACACCCTTATGTATATGTTAATGTACAAGTAGCATTCCTTTTTTCGCACCGTTTAATAGGTAGGGACAATTTGACTAATAGTAGGAATTAAGTAAATTAATTAGCCTGCGAAATGAAGATAGGTTTGGAGTGTTGGACTCACATCTATACAATTAATTAAAAACCTAAACTACCCAAAACTGATTACTTCCTATTTTGAATAATAAAAAAATAAAAGACCAAAATAATCAGTAAAATTTACGTAATTGGACAGTTATTATTGAATTATTAATAAAGAATAAATTTAAAGTTAACAATTTACTTGCTGATCAAAATTAAAAATAAATAAGTCACTTATTTTTTATTATCTCATACTTAATTTTAATTAAAAAGAATAAATTATTCAAGTTCATTTACAAAAAATGTAATTATTAATTTATTTAATTTGCTTAAAAGTTATTTTTTTAAGTAGTAAATTAGAATTTATCCTTTAGAAAATAAGTTTCCAAAAAAGAAAAGTAATTATGAAAATTTTGTTTAAGAAAATAAGTATCTTCGACACAACCAAACACAGTGTACGTGAATCACTGAAGAAAAATGTTTTGGTGCACGTTTGAAAATGTTTTTAGCCTGGAAATCTGCTGCCACAAAAATCTATTCCTCTGTCCCACCATTTTCCTTTTTTAATTTACTTTTTGTAATCTTTACTGTATTATAATATGTTCTTTCATGGCCTTCACGTCCTTCTCTCTACTCTCACAGATAATTTACTGCACAAAATAAATAAAGAAGTGACACCATCCACCTGTTTTTCTTCCAGTTTACAGGCTTACAGCTAATAGTGAGCAATCTTTAATTGAGAGTCAACCCCACGCAAAATCAACATATTTTCAGGATTCATCCACCTCATCCACAAAAGGACACTTTTTCCCATTTTCCCACTTCAAACACCCAATTTTGGGACAAGTTTTGGCAATTGACACCATCTTTCAAGCAAGAATCGTGGTGGTAAAGACTTGGGAATGATGGATCCATTTATTCAAATACCCTCAGTACAGAAAAAATCAGTATACAACTGAATTATAGGCATGGAGTTTAATAAAGAAAAGCAAGTCAGGTATTTTCTTGTTCTTTCTTGCCTCTGCATTTTTTTTTAAGTTTTGCGGGTCTAATGAAAGATGATTAATGGAGTTAAATAATTTTATTATTTATAGGTTTCACTATGAGGAAAAACGAAATCTTGAAGTTTTCTGGGAACAGAATGATGCCCAATACCTTGAAAAACAACTGCCTCTGTATAAAACTTCAGGCCCTTTAAGGAAATCTGAAGGTGGATTTGGGGACAAGACAAGAACAAATAAGATTCCTAAATTAGGAAAGTTTAAGGTTTTTCCAGAAGGTCACGAACCAGAGAGAAAGACAGTACTTGATCCTGGAAGTGAGATTGTCTTAAAATGGAACAGAATTTTCTTGTTTTCTTGTTTGGTAGCCCTATTTGTTGATCCATTGTTTTTCTATCTTCCTTCTGTAGTGAATGAAGGGAATTCATCATGTATGCGAACTGATTTGAATTTGGGAATTATCATTACCTGTTTTAGGACAGTGGCAGATATATTCTATCTGTTGCATGTAGTCATAAAATTTAGGACTGCTTATGTATCTCCTAGTTCAAGGGTGTTTGGCAGGGGTGAACTTGTCATGGATCTGAAAAAGATTGCAAGAAGGTACTTGAAATCGGAATTCTTCATCGATGCAATTGCAGCACTTCCCCTTCCTCAGGTAGTCGAATTTGCTTTTGTAACAAGTCATTGGAAAATCTTTACAATGTTTTACCATGTATAAATGACCTGATTATTTGGAGATCAACTTATTTACTCTTTATCCATTAGAAGTAAGAATGAAATTAGGGCTTATCTACCTGAGGTGTTATGATGAATCCATGCATAGTGGAACTAGGCTGGCTAAGAAATTTGAATGATAAGCATAAAAAGTTGCAAGAATTGTTATGCATGTGTGGAGATTAACCGATTGAGTCGAAATTATTGGTATAAAATTGGGTAATGTTATCAGAGAAAGGTTTAGAAAGGTCATGTAGATCACCCGGGTAGGACTTATGTACTTTTGTCGCTTTTTGAAGAAACTGATAAATGGATTATGGCTGTATTCGCTGGCAATGGGATTTTATATAGAAGAATTCTGCTATCTTGGTATTGAACTCTGACGTGATGCTTGATGTTAGATGGCGAAGTTTTCTAAGATATAGGCACATCCTTTATGAAATGATTGCAATTAATGGTGTTTAATTCGCTTGATAACGAGAAATGTATTATTCATTTGAATAATTTTCAATTGAATCTTAGCTCTGGTATTTCTTTTTATTTTTCTACAGATTGTCATATGGTCGATATTACCAGCAATTAGAAGCTCCCATGCTGATCATACAAACAACGCCTTGGTATTAATAGTCCTCATCCAGTATATCCCAAGATTATATCTGATTTTTCCATTGAGCTCTCAAATTATCAAAGCTACAGGAGTCGTCACAAAAACAGCCTGGGCCGGGGCTGCATACAATCTTGTACTCTATATGTTAGCAAGCCATGTACGTCATTTTCTGTTAACGGTTTTTTATGAACTTATTTTACTCTCAAAATGCAGTATTCCAATTATTTTTGACTTCTTTTTAGGTATTGGGAGCTTCCTGGTACTTGCTATCAATTGAGAGACATGCTACTTGCTGGAAATCAGCTTGCAGGAACGAATCGAAAAGTACTAAGTGCTCCCTTAAATTTTTGGACTGTGGTACTCTGGGACGTAGTGACAGAAATATGTGGGTAGACAGCACTACTGTTTTCAATTATTGTAATCCAGAGGGTACTTCAAACTTTAATTACGGGATATTTGGAAATGCCATTGGAAACCAAGTTGTCTCGTCTGCATTTCTCGAGAAGTACTTCTACTGTTTATGGTGGGGTTTACAGAACTTGAGGTATATTTTTGAACTTCTACTCATCTTATTTATATGGTTATTCCCACTTACGTTTTATCATATGGAACCTCATATGTTTCATCATATTAAACCTTCAAAATTTTCGTAGGATGAACAATGATTTTCCTTGTGGATTGGAAATTTAAGTTATCTAGATTATCCGTTTCGTAAGAATTTGGAGTCATTTTTTTTCGTATTTTGTTTCAGTTCTTATGGCCAGACATTAATGACGAGCACGTTTATTGGTGAAACATTGTTTGCGATACTCATTGCCATACTGGGGCTAGTTCTGTTTGCCCATTTAATTGGAAACATGCAGGTAATTTAAGAATCCCGACACTACCTTGTATATTTACATTCAAAATCTTTATATAAGTTTGGCTCCTCACGTATTTTTCAGAAATTTGAATAATTGCCGATCTTCTTAGTTCTGCAAATGAATCTATTTGATTGCTTTCGGTGAATACATCTTATCTCAATGACTCAATTTCTTTCTAAACCTTCTCGTATATTGAGGTGTTATACTCAAAATAAGAAAGACATTTAGATTATTTTTTATTATTTATTATCTGAATATTTTCTTGTCAAGTTTGATATCTTATTTACAGTACATGAATCATGTATAGACCTACCTGCAATCTATTACTGTGAGGCTCGAGGAGTGGAGGCTTAAACGTCGAGACACTGAGGAGTGGATGAGGCATCGCCAACTCCCTGAAGATCTGCAACAACGTGTCAGGCGTTTTGTACAATACAAATGGCTTACAACAAGAGGTGTTGATGAAGAATCTATCCTTCAAACCTTACCTACAGATCTGCGTCGTGATATCCAACGCCACCTTTGTTTAGACCTTGTTCGGCGTGTAAGATTTCTTATACTCAGTCTCCTCTTGTTGGTAAAAATTCATATCTCTAACTGAAAGGTTTCAGTGACTTATCTCTCAATGTTTATAAATGGTTTATATTAAAATATATAGAAATGAGCAGTGGATAATAGGTTAGTAATTGTGGGTCCCTCGAAATGTATGAATAAAAAGTGACTTGAGTGTTTATAAACATTTTATAAATATGAACCTAACATAGGCTTAATGTGGTTGTCATTTGAAGCTTAAATTGTTGAACCACCTTATCTCAAAGTTTAAGCTGTTAGAGAGGAGACATTTATTTATTTAAATTTAGTTTCAACACGCCCTTTACATTCAAACCCAATTCATTTTTCTTTGATATGTGCACAATTTAATTTTCGTAAATAGTTGGTAGCGACACTTGAACGAAACATTTTTTTTATTTTGATACCATGTTGAACTGCCATATCAAAAAAATTTAAGCTATTACAGAGGAGACACATTATTTTAATTAAATGTTATCCTTCGTTATCAATAGCTTCTTGTGTTATGAGTGCTCTTTGTTATAATAGGTTAACAATAGCTTTTTCCAATTCCAGGTCCCCTTCTTCTCACAGATGGACGATCAGCTTCTTGATGCCATATGTGAGCGCCTAGTGTCATCCTTAAGTACTCAGGGTACCTACATTGTTCGGGAGGGTGATCCCGTAACAGAGATGCTCTTTGTTATAAGAGGAACACTGGACAGCTCGACTACAAATGGAGGCAGGACGGGATTCTTCAATTCGATAACATTGAGACCGGGTGATTTTTGTGGGGAAGAACTGCTCGCATGGGCTTTGGTCCCTAAGTCTACCCTCAACTTGCCTTCTTCAACAAGGACAGTCCGAGCCCTTACTGAAGTCGAAGCTTTTGCACTAAGAGCAGAAGACCTTAAGTTTGTGGCAAATCAATTTAGACGCCTTCATAGTAAGAAACTGCAACACACATTTAGGTATTATTCTCACCACTGGAGGACATGGGCCGCTTGTTTCATCCAGGCACGGACCGCAGCAATATCCTTCTCTATGCTGGCTAAACGCCTAAGCATGAGAGAGTCATTTTCTTATTCTCGTGACGAGCAATTATCTGATGAAAATGGTCAAGAGGAGGACGAAAAAAAGAGTACAGCAGCAAATTCTTCTCAGGTGAAACAACACTTGGGAGTCACAATACTGGCTTCGAGATTTGCTGCCAACACAAGACGAGGAGCGCAAAAACTCAAGGACGTTGAATTACCAAAGTTGCAGAAGCCTGAGGAGCCAGACTTCTCAGCTGATCCCTATGATGACTAGTTCGACTTCAGCTTGGATGGTCTGAGACTAAACGTCCCCCGTGTCTCTCTCTCTCGGACACATAGCGAGGTACACTATTACTCGACCAGAAATTGAACACGAGGGGGGGATAGACAAGGGACAATTGGTTACGGACTGACCAAAATTTATCAATAGAGCACTCACAGAAGAGGCATACAATGCTCCAAAGAAGAGGTTAGTAGACAACAAAGTTTCTGTACAATAATTTTCGAGCTCGCCGGATGGTTGCATTAGTTGTATGTTGTTAGGAAAGTACATTGTTTGAAAGAATTAAGCAGCTTTTGATCTATCTAATGTTGGTTAGCCAGTGTTCTTACGAAGCATTCCTAGTTGAAAGGAGTACTGTCATACGGTAGCCAAGTTTAATGAACTATTTGTTTGTGACATATTGGTGAGTTCAAATCTTTCTACCTTGAACCAAAAACAGTTCCCAGTTTTAACGATGTCCGGCATCCACACCTCCGGTCTGATACTGACCCAGGGTTCCCCCCCAATGTGGCGGGTTCTGGAGTGCGTGTCAAGGGTGCCACGGGGTGATCATGAACAATGCACTGCAGTAAATAAAAAAGAATGTCACATGAAGTACATGTAACTTGGCATATGTTCATTAATGCTTTGAGAAAGAGAAGGATAAGAAAAAAGGTAAGGATTAATCTACTCTACCAGGCCTGTAAAACAGGCCTGGTAGAGTGGTTGTCACATGAGGTGGGTCCCGAGGACCGTCCTCCTTGAAACCCCCCCCCCCCGGCCCCCCAAATGTTTTATAACCCACCCCCTCCAAGACACATTTGATCTGCCAGGTCTTTTACCGACCTGGCAGAGCAGCACGGTTCAAAAGGTAATTCGCAATTTTCCTACTTCACAATTATTGTTCAAAAGGTAAGATACTTTTCATTTTTTGACATTTTCACACTTATTTACACCTTTGATTGTGCGAGATAAACGGAAGGATTTTTTGTGCATTCAAAGGTGTAATTAAAAGTGAAAAAATTAATGTGGCTCAAACAGGGTAATGTACATCAAACACACTCTTAATTATAAAAAAATGTTGAGCATTCATGAGATTCCCTTTGGACGAAGCTCCGTTTGGCTTCCATTATTCGAAATTTTAATGGTTGGAATAATATATTTTTTTAAAAATATGGATTAAAAAAAGAAAAAAATTGAAATTACGTGTAATATTATTTTATTGAAAAATGTATGATTAATAATGAGAGAGAAGAATAAATTATACTTTTAATGAGGTCAAAAGGGACTAAAAGATATTTTTACAGTCGTTTAGATGAATAGCATTGATTTTTAATTTTTTGAAATGGCACTTTGGCAATCTCATGTAGCTGTCAAATTGGACAGTAGGAATTATTAGGTCAATTATTTATTATATAGATTGAATGTTTTGTTCTCTTTTGCTACGTTTAAATATTTAAAAAAAAAAAAAAGGTGATTGTAACAATTTTTCGTATAAAGAAGTGACTGTCCTTGGCAGTCTATGATTTTCATTTTCTTTTTCCAGTTTTTTGGATATATATATATATATATGTGTGTGTGTGTGTGTGTGTGTGTGTGTCGTATGTATCTCGTTAGACTTTCTCTAAATGAGGATCCTGTGGACAATAGAGGAATCGGGGAATTGGTCTTAATATCTAAAGGTGTATTGGACCGTCAAGTCGGTTTAAGGAGGTGGAATACAGAGGTGAATGAAGAAATTTAGAGCATGTTTGGCTAAACTTAAAATCTAATTAAAATTGAAAATATAGTCGTTATTGGGTCTCACTCGTCTAATAAAAGTTAACAATAACGACTAATTTTTCAATTTTAATCCGATTTTAATCTTTATCGAACACGCAGTGGAAGAATAATTTTAGCTTGTAGCAAGTACAAACCAATGATGGTTGATTCAGCCTAAGATAGGGAATATGATACTGCTAGCGAGTTCACGTTTGAACACGGACACAAGACATTGATTTTGCATTTCTGCAGGGTAAGTAGTGGAATTTATGTCGAAAATTAATGAACTATCAAGAATGCCAAACACGAGAATTGCACCATAATTTTGGAGTTTTTCGCGTAAACATGTATTGATTTTATCAAAAAAACAAAAAAAACATTTTTCTGTCTTGTTCCAAACAAGAACTAAAAATTGTTAAACCTAGTCTTTTTTTTTTTCCACCAAAATTGATAAGCATTTTCCTCCTGTGAAGGTTGCAAATTTTATTTTTCTCTTTCAAATTTCCAGTTTAAGATGTATGTCCTAAATATTTCACCCAAGATCGCTTCTTGATACAACGCTTATGACTTATTTTATAAGACTTTTGAAAACTCAAAAGCTTCTTCCGAGATCAAAAAGTTGTTTTTATACGTATTTGGTAGGACCCATTTTGAAACCAAGATCAAGAAAGTTCTCTCGACTAAATAAATCGAATAATGCTAAATGTACAGAACTGTTCATGCCATAAGTTTTACAGAAGAGTAACATGGATGTGGGTCCCACCTGATCTAAATATTATTTAAAAAGTGGGCCTCAGATGTTTGTGTCTTCCCGGTAGTTTCTCCAGGCAATGCCAAATATTTAATAGAGCGGACCACAGCAAAGTGGCCACAAATAAAAGGACTAAACTTGTCCCAAAATTGATATGACTAACAACTCGATAAAGTTGCCATCTTTCTTCACTGAGATTGAAATCCACGAAGTTGCGTACCTACAGAATTTTGGTGGTCCTCAATTGCGTGAGCTCCGCCAACATTGAGGACGTTTTCCCCTCTCTCTTAGGCCTCTGCCGACACCCCTCCTTACAAGCAAGCAGATGTGGTAGAGGTGGGTATGTAATATCAGAGTCTATTAAATTCAAACGGACAATTCGATTAAATTAAGATTAAAAAACGAGCACACAAATTCCAAAATTGATGTGTTCTAAGCCTCTAACAAGCTACCATCTTGCATGGTCATATTAACTCACATAAAGATTTGTGTTACTTTTCTTAACAAAATTTAAGGTGAGTCTCAAGTGCGTAAATGGTTAGTGCAATCGAGAATTTATGTGAATTTCAAGTAGGGAAAATTGCATCAACTTGGTCCTCTACAACAGATCATTTTGATAACAACTTTCCATTATAGTTGGACATGTCGTCCCACTGAAAACAACAGTTCAAATCTTTGTCAACCGTCCTGCGGCCTTCTTGAAAACACTATCTGAATTTTTGTGCACTAGTCCAAGTAAGGAAATAAAACGACTTATGTGTAACATATATTTTGAGGGTTTTTAGTCATTCAGACTGATTGTGCAACTATAACGTAAGGTTGAGGATCGACTTGCTATTTGGGCAATAGTTCTCAATGTACAATATAAGGTGAAATATGATACACAAGAATACACTGAAAGCCAGGAATCCATACAATAAATGGTGCAACATTGAGAATAAACGGGAAAAAAAATTGATTTTTCTTCGACCTAAACTAAAAGTTTAACCGTAAACATGTGGACGACTATTGTGACCGCTATCCTATCTAACATAGAAAAGATGGAAAAATGTAGAACCATAAAATGACTCTCATGATCTTACAAACCTTTATTGAATTGGTGACTGATATGCACTCGAAAAGATTGGTTGACTGATATACAAGCTTTGCTCAATGGTGACGTTTTTGCTGTCATCGATCCTTTTTGTTAACTGATTTGCTCTCCAATCAAGTCGAGGCCAACGAGAAGGAAGGTCACTCCTTGGAAAAGCAGAAAGTAGAAATGGAGTCCTTGAGCTGATAACAGGCTTCTGACTGAAGCTGTAAGCAAGAGGAAAGAAAGGGCTAGCTCTTTCCTGTATATCTTGTTAGTTTTCTTAACCAGTCGAGGCTTTTGTTCTTTTAATGGGGTCAATTCAGAAAGATCACTTTCAGAAGCACCTTGGATGATCTGTGGTTGTACCAATGCTTTCATATCCTTGTCAACAATAGCCAGTAAATCAGATTCCGAAGACCTGCCTGCTTTTTTTGTCACAATCCACTCGTATGAACTGCCCAATTGGAAAAGTCCCGATACCATTGCGTTGAATTTTGTTACAGACATGGTGTTTTCGAAAAGTAGGTAAGGGGCGATGAACGGAATGGATTTTGGTGCCGGGAGAATGTTAAGTAATGTCATAAGAATTGGCACGTAGCAAATAACCCACATGGGAAGTTCGGCTTCAGGGATAAACATGGTTAAAGGAAGAATTACGCAAAATAATGTGAAAGAGTAGAAAGGAAGGATCAGTTTTCTCAACAAAAAGAAGAGAAAAATTAAGTTTGCTTTCTTCCATATTGATATCTGCAAAATGTTTTTTTTTTATTAATAACCATTAATGATATTTTCATCTTGAAACAGTTTAAAAAGATATATGCAAGCACGAAATGTACCTTGGAAGTTATGACAGACGGCAGACACAACCGAAAAAGCTGCATAGGACCGGAATGCCAACGATGTTGTTGCTTCCTGTACGCTTCAAAAGACTCGGGAACTTCACAAAGGACCTAATTTTATTTCCAAATGAAGTTGGCCGTTTGATTAGTATTTCCAATGTTCTAGTGGAAACTCAAATATTATAGCCAATTCTACTAATTAAGAATATTCGAATCAAAGAATATAAGTATATCACATATTTAAAATGTCAATATTAACAGCACTAACTTGGTACCTTAACATCATTTAGATATATGAATTTCCAACCGTTGAGATGTGCCCGAACAGCTATGTCCATATCTTCTACAGTCGTACGTTCAAGCCAACCTCCAGACTCTTCCAATGCTTTGATTTTCCAAACACCAGCAGTTCCATTAAAACCAAAGAAATTCAGGAAAACCCCATTGACCTGCTGTTCAATCTCAAAATGGTAACACAAGTTTATATTCTGGAGACGAGTCAACAAGTTTTCATCCTTGTTGACGAATGCCCATCTGGCCTGAACCAATCCTATCTCAGGATTATCCTGCAGCAAAGGTACGAGTGTAAGTGTAACAATGACAATACTCATTCCACAAACTTCTTTCAAATGACAACCAGTATAGACAACCTTAAAATGAGGAACTGTCTGCTTGAGAAAATCTGCGGTTGGTTGGAAATCTGCATCGAATATTGCAACAAATTCATAATCCTTCACATAATCGCAGCTCATTGCAGACTTGAGATTCCCAGCTTTATAACCAGTCCTGATCAAACGATGCCGGCAGATTATGTTAATTCCCTGTTGCCTCCATTTGGAAACCTCAGCCTTAATCAACTGTTGAATGCTTTCATCATCAGAGTCATCAAGAACTTGAATCAGCAAACGGTCTTTTGGCCAATCAAGTTGACATACTGCTGAAATTGACAACTCATATACCTATGCCAAAC